TGGCCGAAATTGTGGCCAAAGCTTCAATAACAGCCAACTTCCGTGAGGCTGATGGATTTTCGGCCTGATCTAGGCTGGATTTTCAACGGGAGCTCATGGACAGATCGTCGCTGGTGGAGTAAATTAGCCACCGTGTGGAAAACATGTCCACAGAGCGCTATCTTAATTTGCTTATTGACTTTTAAACACAACTGCAGCACAGGGTTCGCAGTATGTCTCTTTAATGTGAAATGATACCGATCATTGCTTGAATGTTTTCGCAGCTTGTTGCCCGCAGCGGCTGAGCAAACGATCTCCCGTGAACTGTGCCAGTCAATAGGGTGGAAATCCATATATTCATTAAGAGCAGACTGAGAGTTGAGGAGCATTATCTTTAGCAGCTTTCTGAAGAAATCAGCTAGAGCTTCTGAAACGAACAATCTGCTAAACAACCTGTTAAAAATGTGCCTGCCTTTCTCTCGTAGGGGTGCTATTGATTTCCTGGTGCTGATACTTTTAGTTAAAGAAGAGCACAGAACAATCCTTTTCTTTAGTATGCCTTGCTGCAGAAAGGCAATTGCACATTGCAAAACAGTCCTGCTTGTGGGACGATGATTCAAAAGCAGCTGTCTTCCTAAATTAAACTCAACCGTATCACCACTAGCACCTCAAAAAAGGAAAGATATTCTTAATTGTACGTTTACATTTGCAAGCAAATTTGGACCATTTAGACTGGTTCAAATGTGCACACAATGTTAGGGCAGCTGGTGTGAAAGGTACACTTGTGCTTAATCAAGAAGACACTCAGGTTTCTTACACACACAGTCTAAAAGCATTTATAACCTAGAAATAAGAGATAGCAGAGCACAGCCTACTGCAGGATACTACATGGATATTTTATGTAGCTAAACAGGCTCAAGTGATCATGCTTTTACTCTTCTTATTCCCATAACAACATCACCTGCAAATTTTGACAGCAAGCAGAGAGATATTTCTCTCGATTCACCATGACAACTGTTTTTGTTCCAAGCTATTTTTTCCACCACAAGTTTTTTTTTTATTACTGAACAGTGTGCATCAGTCACAGAACTCACCTCATTATTATTTTAATCACCCACTCTTTGAAGCATGTAAATAACACTGAGAGCTAGCCAGGTTAAGTACAGCCTCCACACGGCGGAGTTTGTTTTAACCCAGTGTTGCAACTAAGCCTTCTCTAGTAAACAAGTCAATAGATACCCTCCATATAAATTTAAACAGGGAATTTTTTGGACGTTTTTTTATTTAGCACTTTTATTGTGCTCATATTTATTCTGTTTGGTAGTCAAAAATAAATTTACTGTATTCAGCACTGCGTTTTTGTTCTTTACTAATATTGTGTTTTTTGATGCATATCATTTTTGCATTGATTTACCAAAGCTTTTAGCGACGGTTACAAAAGGCCCCTTTGTCTGTTATGATAAACCCCTCATATGGGGATATTTGTTATATTTGCACTCGCACTACTTGCAGCTAAATTGCTCATCAGCAGTTGAAAAGTTTGTTTTCATTTGTAGTGGAGATGTGCAAGTTCTCAAATACTAATAATTAAATAATTAAAATAATTAAAATTATTCAGCAAAAAATGAAGCGCACTGTGCCCGCTCTCCCCCAGGCATGTGCCGATAAAGAAGTTTAATATCACAATAATTACCTAACTCTTTTTCACGGTTTATGATATCACAATATCGCATATAGAAAAAGAAACAGTACATGTATAAGATTATACGTGGCGTTCTGAATGTCATTTTTAATAGTAATTATGCCTTTGTGGTTATTTCTTTTTGGTGATCTACGTCTTTGAAAAAAACTCAAACCACTTTCAATTTGTAAACTGATTTCTGCAATCCTGTTTTGTGAAAGTCTTGATGGGCATCGTGTCTTTGGTTTTTCATTCTGGATTGCAGACCCTTTAGCTAGCTAGGGTTCTCTTTCATTTGGACAGGCCATTGTAGATACTCTGTAGATGCTTACCTAGCATTTAGTGTACATCCAACCACATATCTACTACATTCGCTTCATTGTTCAATAATTGTGATCCTAATCCTGACCTTAACCTAAACTCATAACCTAATCTTAACACTTACCCTGGTCCTAATCCTAACCCTAGCGCTGTTGAGCTGTCAGTTTGTTTGTTACCAATGTGAATATATGTAGACGGTCTATACAGCGCAGTGGGACTGCACATGAAATATAAAAGGCTAGCACGCCGTCGTAACCGTGAGCTGTGAAGGTGCTCAGACCAGTAATGCCAGAATCATGCTCAACGCAAGTCCACGAACATAAATGACAACACCCAGCCAGTGCGCTGCAAAGGCACAGTCCTTCAGTATAAACTCAAAATGCGTTTACACATTACTGTGGTAGTTTAAACACTCAGTACTCGAGGAGGTGATACAGGACAACTCATAGTGTCTGTCATAGATCTACTATTGTTCCACCAGCCACAACTTTTAAAGATGTTTATAGTGGAAGAATACACGCTGCTTTATTTGTTCTATTGGAATAAAGGGGCAATGATGTACTAAATTTATGCTTATATAAACAACCCAGTTCGGTGAAATTCTGGTCCAACTGCTGGTCTGCCATGACAGTTGACCAGATAAAAGTACAATGGTGGTACACAACAGCTTGGCTGTCACTATAGCATCCCGCGGTGCAATGCTCAGAACACAGTTGCTCTTGGGTTGCGTCATGAATTGCGCTGGACACGGTTTGGAATGCACAACAATAACAATAACAACAAAGACAAAAAGGTACTGTTAAAATTGCCAATGTAAAATGGCACCAATATCACTTTTTTATTTTATTTTGGTAAACGCTGTCTCACAAAATGTTCTGTGTAACAACATACTAAGCTTGAATGAATTGCATTTACTTGTTTTATGTATTGGATTTTGTGTACTTTTTGGTTGTGTGTGTGTGTATTATCATTTTTGATGCTATAAAAACCTATTTTTGTTTATTTACTACTATTCACTATTTTAGAACTAGTAATGAGACCTATATTTACCAACAGCAGTAAATACCAAGTATTTTTATTGAGCAAACTAGTCAAACCAGGACTGAACTACATGCAGATAAACCTATGGTGTACACATAATCACGCCAAAGCTTCTCTGGTTTAGCAACAACAATGCTGAATGTTGTTTCACATCCAAAATTCTCAAGACATCTGTCTCATATGTGTGTCCCATACACTTATGCTTACATGCCAGAACATCAGACACTTCTAGCTCTACTCAGTGTTTTTGTGTTTTCTGTGAAACTAATACCTTAGGAAGAATTCCAGCTGTTATATTACCCCCTACCACTGCCTTCTAATAGAAACAGCGGGCTTACAGTTTTTGCCATGTGCATTTTTATGCTGATACCAACACTGTGTTTAATTGTCAGTATCGGCACCGACTGTGACGTGGTAAACCAATGCAGTATTTGTATTTGTGCAGCCCCATTTCGGAAACTGTACTGCTTTCACATTTGTTTGGAAGCTGCTCTGGATGGGTGCATCTACCTAATTTTATGTGGCCAGTGGTGATAATAACCTTAGGCTTTGATCTAACATTGAATATAAATAAATATGATTACAGATGCAGGGGAGAAGTGAATATAGAGGCACAGTCTTTCTCTTGGAATATATGCACTGTGAGTACTGATGATCCCTGTGGATCTAACTAATATAAATCCACATTCAAAGTAAAGGAAGCACTGGGAACTGTCTAATTACAAGCCAATGAAATACTGAAGTTATCTGTCAGCTCTGCTCTAAGATGAGAGAATATATTTACCAGCCACTTTATTAAAAATATAATGATGAATGGGGCTCAGGGGGCCTTACAGACTGTGCATGACAACAGATGAACTCCAGGCTGTTATTCAGTGAACCTATAGGGCAGGTGGAGCTCATAAAGTGGATGGTCAGAATAGATCAAGTTGCAGTTAATGGTAGTGATGCACTGAGACCACTTTTTACCCTTCCGATACAGATACAGATACCTGATCCTTAAATATCAGACGATACTGAGTACTGATACCAATACTACCTCTGTCTTAACTAATAAGCTCATTAGTCTTGATATTCATACACTTTTTTGTCTTTTTTTTGGCAAAAGCTATGTTCTGTGTCACTACGCTTAAATGGCACTTAATTGTTGGTTGACTGACGCAACAGGCTGCGAGACACACTAGCCTGGCTAGTGGGCTGCTATTCTAAAGGCTAAACTTAAAGATTACCATTCCCCCATGAGACCAGCAGTTCCTTCCATATGACTCCCTAATGTTCACTTCCTCAATAAGAACTCGGACTAACATTACATCAGACTGTAAACGACTTCACAGTGGGAGATGAGGGATTACTGAAAAAAAAGCGGCTCAGCCACTGAGGTTAGCCTGCTTTTGTTAGCATGCTTTACACTGTTTGTGTTTTTTAACACGCTTATTTGTGGCGTACCAGTGAAATAAATACCTTAGAAAGAATTCCAGTGGGTATATCACCCACTACCATTGTCTTTACATGAAATATTGGCTTTACAAATCTTTACTGTTGCTTGTCAACCCATACTGCCAATGATTTGTAGTTCCATCTACTTGTGTGCATGCGCATCGGAAATTGCTTTGTGGTATCGGGCATAGGTATCAGTATCGCCATCGACAATAACGCATTTAAGTGCAGCCCGAGTGGTGACAGCAACAGCATGGTCACTATGGTCATAACTGACTAATTATTTCTCACTTGTTTCTCTTTGGAATATGTCGAGGAAATTCTGTTAAAACTTCTAAATGTTCAGTCCCATACCACATCTGTGTAATTAATTCATGTAATTCATTATGTAATTATGTAATTAATTATGAAATTATGAAACTATGTAATTTAAATGGTATAGCAGAACAAAAGTAAACACCTTTAGACTTTGAAAGGTTCAGCAGCATCTGTATGTTGTCAGTGGCCACAAATAAGTGTTAGTATACAGTTCTATACTGACCCGTTTTATATTTAAGCAGCAGCTCCCAGATTCCTCTTCTCGCATATGGATCCACTCCAGCAGTGGGTTCGTCCAGGATGACCACATTGGACCCGCCGACAAACGCAATGGCGACTGATAACTTCCTCTGCATCCCACCTGTCCACAAACAAAAAGAAAGGCTCTAAAGGATGCTTAGTGAACCTTATGGAACCGAGCATCTTGCCGGCGATCCATTCAGATAATTTGTTGATGGCCCTTTTAACACGTTTATATCTGCTGTCCATGTTGGGCACACTGAAATGCATCTAAGTGTACAAGGCTTGCACAAGGCTTCCTTTACGGTTGGATATACTGTGAATGTGCAGTCAGATTAGTAAGAACTTTTTATTTTGTTAAATCAGAGTAACGACAAAATGCAAGTGATTTGTGACATATTCCATTTCATATTTGCTTGTGCATGATGTAGTTTTTGATAGAAACTGAATAAAAATCTATGAATTTCCAGCTTTATTAGATCACATTCCTTACATTTAAAATAAATGCTACAACAGCGCTGATGCATTAACATAGAAGAGCAGATTAAAGGGCAGAAACAGACATGTTTTTGCATTTATCAAAATTTTATCAAAATGTCTTTCTTGGAATGAAGAGCAGGTTTCATCCAAACATTTTCTTTTCCAAACTATCGCTAAAGAGGAGCTCCAACATTTTTTCTAAAGTTCTGCATTACTCAAGCTTTAAAATGTAAACAAAGTCATTCAGAGTGGATTGAGATGAAGTGCTTCATTCTAAAGAGAATCATACTGAATTCTTTACAGTGGTGGTGATAGGAACCAGAAGTCACAATGTCTACAACACAAATATAGCCAGTTTATTTATGATCCAAAAGCACCAGTGAACCTACTCATGTCCTTTGAGCTTTTATATAGAATGTTGATGGTAAAATATCGATAAATTTGAAAAATAAGGAGACTATTTTGCCTTATAATGCACTGCATGTATCTCTTTACCATGAACGGATTTCAAAAAAAATGTTTTAGGTGAGAAGCTTCTGGGAACTAAAAAACAGTATCAAGGCCATCAGGTAAAGTATACATAACTATTGTGTGACACCACCACCGTGAACAATTCCGACCCTTTCTTTAGAATGGACCGTTTTGTACCAAGCCACTCTCAATCACTTTGTGTAGATCTTGCGTAATCTTTAAAAAGCAGTAGAAAATACTTTGCAAAAAATGGCCAGCTCCAGCTTTCCGCTTAGTATGTTAAATTATTGCAAACTGACAAAAAACAGCCAAAGTACTTTCTCTTTTACTCATCCACACAGGCATACATTCTCTCACACTCTACCATACCTGAAAGGTTCTTGGCAAGCTCCTTGCGTTTGTGCGGCAGTCCCACGTCTTTGATCATCTGATCTATCTCCTGTTTTACCTCCTCGGAGCTGCATCCCTTCAGACGGGCGTAGAAGTAGATGTGCTCCTCCACGGTCAGGCTGGAAAACACACATCCATCATGGAGTCGGCGGGGCATAATGGTTCAGATGGTTCACATCAGAATCTATCTTCATAAAGCATTCCACACGCATCCCTACAAATCGAATACGTCTCATACAGCGGCATAATGCATAACGCACGCCAGGTTTTTTGTCTGACTGCAATAAATGAGCCGTGAATCCAATAAGCATTCACAGTTTTGGTCATTAAATAATGGCTTCTCCAAGCTGTATGTCAAGCGTGTAATAATAAAGAATTCCTGACACACAGCGTAATTGCAATGTACTGCTTTAGTAAAGTTTATGAAGGCATCACAAAATTTGCCAATGGAGATTTAACCCTTGGGAGTCTAGAGTTATTACATTACATCATTTTTTAACCTCTTTAACCCCAAGAGCCTGTTAATGGGCCCCCACTTCAATTCCCCACTTTCATACATGTGTGACTTAAATATTAGTTTCATAGTACTTACCACATAATTAACAGCATTTACTGAAAGGTCTTAACCACAGTCTTCAAAATAATTGAAGTCCCAAGATAGCAAGCATATATTGGTCCGCTGGCTTGATAAGGTCAGCACCCCGCTGACTGTACACCACTGGTCCACGCTTGGACCACCAGATTATTTGTACTGCATACAACTTCTAACTAGTTTTTAATCTCATCAAACATTTTTTTTTAAGTACACAGAGACTTTTATTTTAGAAAATAAACTAAGACAAATATTATAAACAAATGACAAAAAATGACTAGGCCGTATATAAAATTATTTTATAAAAACATAATTATAAAATACTTATTAAAAAAATGTTTTTGCTGACACTGGCCTGGATTAAAATCATTTATTAAACTAATGTACGAAGTAAAGAAAGGAAAGAAGGAAAAATAAGTAAATTGGACTGTGAGTGGAAAATGAGCAATGATAAGTGGAATTTTGTCTAACACTCTGCTTAACCAGTGTTGGGCCACCAGCAAAACGCTGCGCAAAATGCCAGTGGACTGCCGGCTTTGCCATTAGCGGGCCAACAGCGGTTCACCACCCTCTTGCTATCAGGCTCCTAACATTAATAACTGAATTAAGCAGCAGTTTAAGGATTACGTTTCTACATTTATTTTCACTATTAGATCAACAGCTTTGAGCCTGCATTTCTGAAATTTTTTTATTGTTTGTTTTGATGTAAAAACAGAAATAATGTAATATGCACAACATTCATCTGCAGTTTAGAATCTGCATTTCAACATAATTTCTCCACTTGTTTCAATGAGTAAAAACAGATCTCCAAACTAGTTTAGTGTATTCATAAATATTTTTTGCAAATAAAATCATTTTGGGTACTCAACCTACTCTAAAGCTATTTCTGTAGATTAACAATAACGTATTGTTCTGGGATTACCATTCTCTTTTAATAACAACTATATTTAACAACTAAAGCAAATCTAAAATATTTCGGTTATAACATAAACCAAATTCTAGCAGCGTCTAATGGCCATGAAGGAAATTTCAGTGTAAGAGATACACCTGTGAGACTCATATGTGTGTGTTTCTCTTGCACTCAGGCTTCATCTACAGCCATCAGATGCTACTGGAATTTGGTCAATATTTCACTCTCTCACTATCACTATCAGTATTAGCTAAGAAGCTACAGAGCAGTGAAGGGAAGGCCCGAAACCACAGCATAGCCTGAAGCAGATTGACGAGTGAGGGGCGTCATAGGCGGTGAGCACGCACAGTCAGCTAGTCTCCATGCTAGGCTAATGGCTAATGGCTAACCCCAAGAGACTGGCTTTTCCTTTCCCCTTTTTCACACTCCCTTTTAACTCATTACATCGTTTACTCCTCATTCTTTGCTCCTCTGACAACAAACTAGACTAACTTCTCTGACGGCACCTCGTTACTTGTGAGGTGAGGGAATTAGTGAGTTTTACATTGTATACATGTTGGCTTATCTATGCTAATTTGCCACATATTGGTATAATAGCAACGACAAAACTCCTTTTAAAAGAATTTCAACCAGTATACTGGATGAACCAGTATATCATGCACTATTACACAAGAAACAAGACAAATGAAACTTTTTTGTTGAAATGTCCTATCAAAAAATAAAAAGACACAGCCAGTTTGTTGTTGTTGTCACTCAGACTAGGGTATTCTGACTTGGTATATTAAATGTTGGGTTTAATTTTATTCTGTGCTCCTGGTTCAACTCCTTTATCTCTTTCTGACAGGCCACACCTCTCACTTTAGACCTTCAGCATTTTATTTTAGAACAAAATGATCTGAAAAAGAGAACAGAGCCTTTTGTTCCTTTGCTGACAGGAACTAAGAAGCTCCATTGTACTTAAGAAGCTCAATATTCACTCTTTCACTGAAGTAACAATGAGCTGACATGAGTTATTTGTTGCTGTTTACTTGCTTTTTGTGCAACAAACTCTTGAACACTCAATTTCAAAACACCAAAGCACTGCCATGGCTTGTCCAGCATGAAGCTGACCTCTGCTACTCACTCGTTAAATAAGACGTTGTGTTGCGGACACATGCCCAGCGTCTTCCGAATGCTGTCCATGTCTGTGCGGATGTCGAAGCCGTTAACATAGGCCGTGCCGGACGTTGGAGCGAATAGCCCGGTCAGAATGGACCTGAGGGCAGCAAAGACCAAACCAGCAAAACAATCAGATGGCCAGCAGGCGCTTCAAAGCATGCTTCAACTATCAATCTCAAAAGAAAAACCCACCATCCCTAATACAACTTTTGAGTGAAGGATGAAAAACGCTGCTTTATTTCACAGCTTTGACCCGAGCGCCACAAAGCACTTACTTGCAAAATAGATGTCAGTTTGTGTGGGGGAAAAAAACAGAAGTGGACAAAAATGAAAATGGAGATTTCTTTGGACACTGCTACTATAGCAACAGAGGGACAGAAGAGACCACTCTGACATAAACTACAAAGTCTGAGACTGAAAATGTGAATTTCATCTCTAAGCATCTTCTGAAGAGTAGAGGGAGAGAAAGAAGTTAGGTAACATTAAATGATGATCGACTGTAGATCCTTTGCAGGTGCTTAACTTGACAATACACTAGAATGCCTAATTACCATTAATCATATCTTGACTCTTTTCATTACCTAATCTATACACTAATCTTAAACTCAGGACAGAATGTAATCCTAATTTTCAAGGCCATCTCAGCATTTGTAAAGGATTTTTAGTCATCCATCTGACAGGACCGATGTTGAATTGTGTCCAATTTCCACCCATTAGCTAGGGTTCCCCCTTTTACACAAGGCTACCAAATTGGAAAGGTTAAGGCTAATGGAGACACGTGAAGTGCTACCACATCTTTTCAAACTGACACTAACTTAATGTCATTTGACAGCGCAACACGCTTGGAGGAGAACACTAACTGCCAATTCTGTTACACCCGCTAATAATATCTGCCATTCAGACAGAGTGAGGCCAATTAGGCTGCCAGTACACTTTAAATGAAAATGACATTTTGTAGCAAATCGATGTCTTTTCCAGCCATAACGACAGGAAAAATGGTGAAGAGTGTGCCTGTTGCTAAACAGAAGTCCTAATCACCACTTTGTATGTCTTCTGACCTCCCCTGACTGCATCTGGTCCATGCCACATAGTAGGAAGACAAACATCCAGTTCTTTTTAAGTGCTTTCATGACAGTGATCTAAACGGTACTTCAATTTCATTTAGTTCCTTTGTCTTTTGAAGTACACTGACAGGTTTATGCTCTAATGGGCTCTCAGCCATGGGTGGCTGTGGCATCATAAGGAAGCAAACAAGTGATCACCTGATGACGCTTAGACAGTTGTGCATCTCAAGACCCTGAAGACCTCTATTTCTATCATCACAGTCCATACTAGCTCTGCTAGACGCAAGTTAGCTGACGCAGCAGAATTGGCAGTTACTGTTCTCCTCCTAGTGTGTTGAACTGTCTAATGATGTTAGAAAAGATGACCTGGAGGAAACATGTGCTAGCTCTCACCCTCCCGACTTGGTAGTGAAGAGGGAAGACCAAGCTAGCAGGTGGGAACTGACAAGGACTAAAATGGCTACTGAGAATCAGCAGAGAGTTTGTTAATGATCTGAGTGCCTGTAGATCATCTACAGAGGATCATTCAAAATAAAGTGGGACTGGAAATTTTATATGAAGCTCATTACACAGCTTAATTCAGCCTGTCTCGGGGTGCCATAACTCACATGGTGGTAGTCTTTCCAGCTCCGTTGTGTCCTAAGAATGAAGTAATTTGGTCCTGATAGAAGTCCAGACTGAGCTTATCCACAGCCAGTTTTTTTCCAGTTTTGTACACCTTCACCAGATTTCTTATAGACACACCAGGCTTCAGTCCAGCAGAGGCCTTCTCCAGATAACCTGCAGCACATACACAGTGAACTCAAACAATGCAATCTGTGTCTGTATTTGTTCTGGACTAAACTAAAATGTGGAATAAAAGTGAAAAAAAGAAAAACCCAATAAAAAAACCCCGAAAATAAATAGTACAGGAGGGAACAATTTACAAAACCCATTATTATCGTCTCTCTAATTAAAGGATTTATCGTGAGGAATATACAGGAATAGACAGTACTCTGAAAAAGTTTTACATAGCTATGAACTATGACAATTAGATTTATAAAGTCATTTATCTGGTAAGAAAGCTAATCACTTACATATTTAAGCTTCTAAGTATATCAGTGTGTTTGTTTAACCATTTCCAAACCTCTCCCCGTGGCAGCCTGGTATCATTTGTAGGTATCATTCAATACCTGGCTTGGTTAATCAATGCTACATCATGCTTATGTTTCTATAGTAAGCGTGTCGGTGATGGAATTGAACAAATCCATGCAAAAGCTGGCGGGACTGACGAGACCAAACTTTGTTCACAAGATATTAACTACTTCTTAAAAAATGTTATTTTTACTGTATTTATGTTTATATGCATTTACTTTAATGATATATAATGCTTTTACATGCTAGAACACATCTACTGCCAAGATAACTGGCTGTGTAGATGCTTTCTGCACAGTACTGTGTATGTGTCTGTGTGTACCGTTTTGGTCCTCCAGTGCATCTAGAGGTTCCGGCTCGTTGTAGGAGCCCACCGGAGTCCCACACCAGTATGAGGAGGTGAAAGGAAAATACCATGGCTTGGGTATCCCATACTGTCCTGGGGGAGAAAACAGGGAGCATCAGTATCATCAGTGTCCACTCTAGGAAATATCCAGACTGAATTTATAATTTTTTTTTTCCTTCTTTCTTTTTTCCCTCATTATAAACATCTTTCAAGCATTTTACCAGCAGAAAAACCTCCCGTACCAGCCAAACCAGCATGATCTGCATCTTTGCCTGCTGTGTGAAAAGGCTGACTGCTCAATTCAAACTCTTTCCTTCCCAGTTTTAGCTTTTTAGTCTTTATCATTCTGGTGTTACTTATAATGACAGATGACAGCCCATTGCTACAAAAACCCCAAATTATGCAAGTTTTGCTTCAAATTCTTCTCAGCAAAGTTAGAAAAGAGAGTTTTGCAGATTTTTCTGTCACTTCAACGATTTGCAGGCGAGTTCTCAATTAGGGGAACTTTTCTGTGCACTGGGTAGAATTTCAAAGGAAAAAAACACAGAAAAGAAAAACGTTTTTTTTTTATGTTGGGTAATGGTGGTGCTAAACTTTTTTTGGTGCTCATTAGTGACATTTTGGGGTGATAGGTAAAGTTTGCCAGAATTTCTTTATTAAAACTATTTTAGGCTGGTCTCCTTCCCAGATGTTGTCACTCTGCGTCAGTAATGAAGCAATACCAAGTCTTACATTCACCAAAACTACTTTATATTTTCCCACAATTACTTAAAAATATTTTTTGACCACAGGCTTATATATGGCCAATTTACACATTTTCTTTACCAAATTATGCTGTCCAGAGTAAAACTACTACACCAAAGATTTTAAAGAGGACAACAATCTGTTTATCTGATTACTATGAGAAGTGTCAGGGGAGTACATGGCTTCCATGGCAGAAGGGTGACCTTTAGATGCCTAAAAATGTAAGATATTTTAACTCACAATCTGAAAGTGCTCTTAACAAGCATCATTGCCAAAATTTGATATTTTAAAGCTATAGTTAGCCCAAAAATCAAATTTATGTGCTTTTCATTTTACCCCAAATGTAGTCAATCAGCCAAGACACTGCTGGTGTCCAAGTTTTGCTTCTTTAGTTTATAGCTAGTGCTGCTAAGCTAATGGTGCTAACAAACAATGGAAGTCAATAGTCAGCCAAACCGTTTCTGTAAATAAACCACAGCTCAAACCGTACCCAGGTCTTAATTCTTACTAAACTGATATCATTCCACACAAGACGACCAAAGACGGGGCAATAAGGGAATTCACAACACAGATGCACCGTAGTGTGACGAAGATGGAGAAGCTAAGTGGATGATCACCACATACATGGAGATTTTGCATGATAACTTTAATGAATGGTGTGCTGGTCATACTGTGTTAAAGCTACTTACCTGCAGAGTAACATTTTATGACATGCCTATGTGCTCCAACGTAAAGGCAGAACAGTACGAGATGCAATGTTACGCGGAAGATACGATTTCAGTTTTAGCTTTAATGTGTAAATAAACTCTACCCATGCGAATTTACACAATTTTTAAACAAGTTAACATGTCTTGGCTGATTGACATCTGTGGTGAGTGAAAAACCATGTAAATTAGATTTTTTAGACAGAGCTAGTTTCACTTTGTTTACATTTATTAATGTACACTGCATGACAGTTATCTACTTGGGTTTGCACATCCATGAAAAAGTTGCCCATCACTTGATTGGTCAAATTTTCAATTCTGCATGGCAATGATTTCCTTAAAGCAAAGCATAAATAAGAAAAAGAAATAAAACACGACTTGAAAAACACTGATTAGACCTATCTGAGAACTGTCTGGATGTGCCCTAATACTTTAGTAAGCCCATATGTTCGACATCCCTCTGTCTAACACTCCCAGGCTTCAACGCCACTGAAGCAGAACAGAACGCAATAGTGTGAGCAGGAGAAATAAGGAAAGATTTCTATATAGGTTGTGTTGTAGACTCAACTGTGTCCACTCACTAAAAACATTCCCCAGCTTTTATGTAACAGTGTTCTTATTCACTTTACTGCTGGATGTACATCCTGGGAATTCTGGCATGGCCAGTTGAACGAACAGACGAAAAGATGAACTACCTTCATGGCACATGGCTTGGAGAGACAGATGTATTACATTTAACTGAAGTGGGTAAATTTGTTTTAGATGTGTTTTGGGTGCTGACTTTTTGAGTGGATCCTCATGTTAACCCCTTAAAATCCCAGGCTTACATTCTAAAGCTTACTGTATGGTAACCATTTTAACTACAACTGGAGGTATTTTGTAGTGATAGAAGCGTGTGACTGGGTCCTGGCCATTTAAGCGGTCAAAATCATTTTTAAGCTCCTGCTTTGTTTTGTGAGAGAAGACGTTTGGTGGGTGGAACTATTTCTATTTGGAACCAGTGTTTTTGAAGATCTCACATTTTAATGAACTACAGCTAAACTTAAAGTCCCAGGAAACAGCATAATGGACGTAAAAAAGGCACAGACAAACAGATGTGTGGACGGACGTATGGACGCATGAATAAACAAACATAAAAGTAACATCGTAAGAAATGGACGAACAGACTTACAGATGGATGGCCAAATGGACGGATGAAGCGAAGCATGAATGAAGTAACAGACGGATGAACAATGTTGGTGTATGGATAAACGAATGAACGAGTGACAGGCAGCTACAGACAGGTGGTCTAGCTTGCTAGCTTTTGGTTGTGCTAGGTTAGCTTTAACTCACTAAGTTTCACAGATTTAGGTTCTGGGTCTTTTAATGGAGAATTGAAAGTAAACTTTTAAATGAACTTGTACCATAGTGCCTCATATTTATTCATTTTGTTGTTATGAAAATGAATCGTTTAGATGAACGAATGTTTTATTACACACTTCTATAACCCAAGAGTAGCTCAGACAGTTTGCATTAAGGTCTCTGTACTTAATTTGATCAACTCTATACTATAGGAGCATGATTGAATATTGGTGCGATTTAGAATAAATACTATTAATTAATAATTAATAATACTATTTGCACTTCTGGTACATAACTGCATTTCGTTGCCTTGTACTTGTACTGAGCAATGACAATAAAGTTCTATGTATGTATCTATCTATCTATCTATCTATCTTTCAAACACTGCTGAAAGTTAAGTCAAACATAGCACTAATTGAAGGATTACTCTTGTAGTCTGTGTGTTTTCTGTGAGTAAATATCCTGAAAGTGTAAATGCCTGTACCTGGAAACACATTCTCGATGTACCAGGTGAGAATCCAGTAGAGCAGAGTGTCAATCAGCATCATGATAATGGAGACGATGAAGCTGTAGGGGTCGTCCTCCTGAGAGCTGATCCCGATGTTCTTCCACTGGATGCCCACACCCTGCTCCTCATAACGTGCAAAATTCTCGCAGCCGTAACCGAACGCCACACACGACAGCAGACTCTGAAAAACACACACACGTCTCCTTTAGGCATAAGCGTATATCTATCTATATATACGAATACCTATATTTATCCAGTTTGCCTCCAGTAGTCTATATACATATATATATATATATATATATATATATATATATATATATGTATATATATATATATATATATATATGTATGCAATAGTTGATGATATCTCATGCATCAAATGTGACTCGTCTGGCAGAGAAAATGACACTTTGATTTATTTGCCTTCTGTTGGATTTGGTAGTAGATGACGTTCTCACATCACATTGATAAAAATGTTGAAATATAGTAGCTCAAATGGAGCTACAGTATTTTTTCCCCTAATTCTCATTACTGCACTGATGATACACCAAATGGCCACTTGATTAAGGATATCTTTGTGTATCCACATTCTTTTTCCATTTTATCAGCTCCACTTACCATGTAAGTGCACTCTGTAGTTCTGCAATTACTGTAAATCTGTTTTTATGCTTACTTTGTTAGCTTCCTTTTACTGTTCTTCAATGGTTAGGACCCCCACAGGACCACCACAGAGCAGGTATTATTTAGGTGGTGGATCATTCTCAGCACTGCAGTGACACTGACGTGGTGGTGGTGGTGGTGCGTTAGTGTGTGTCGTGCTGGTCTGAGTGGATCAGATACAGAAGTGCTGCTGGAGTTTTTAAACACCTCAGTGTCACTGCTGGACTGAGAATAGTCCACCAACCAAAAATATCCAGCCTACAGCGTCCTGTGGGCAGCGTCCTGTGACCACTGATGAAGGACTAGAGGATGACCAACACAAACTGTGCAGTAACAGATCTCTGACTTTATATCTACAAGGTGGACCAACAAAGTAGGAGTGTCTAATAGAGTGGACAGTGAGTGGACACAGTGTTTAAAAACCACCACCATGTCAGTGTCACTGCAGTGCTGAGAATGATCCACCACCCAAATAGTACCTGCTCTGTGGTGGTCTTTTGGGGGTCCTAACCATTAAAGAACAGGGTGAAAGGAGGCAAACAAATTAACACACACATACACACACTGTACAAAGGTACAGGCTACACATATATTCAGTCATACAGGCTGTACAGACACACATAAACAGAGAAACAGCAGCCAAAACAATATGTGCCTCTTGTCCATCAAATTAAACAGCAGGACAAGGCAGATCCCAAGGGCAACACACACACACAGGTGACAGATGTGTAATTGTGTTTGGAACGCCAGCGGTGTTCTTCTTCTGAGACACAGACACACACACACACACAGACACACACACACACACTCTCTCTCCAAGGAGACAGCATCATTAATATAAATGTAAATGATTCCCCTCATTGAAATACAGTTTTATGAATATGATCAAAAACAATAGCAGAGCTGTGTCTTTCCCTTCACAATGGGTACAAATCCCCAGATATATATATATATATATAGAGAGAGAGAGAGAGAGAGAGAGAGAGGAAAGAGAGGAGAGAGAAAGCATGTATGTGTGTCACACTGACGTGTCTCTATTACACATTCATCCAGCACTACTTTAATGCTAAAGCTAGCACTATATATTAGACACACACAGTAATGTTATTGTGGACACTTTAAATTTCCATCACTGCAGGCTGAAGCTTCACTGGAGACTGTTTAGACATGTAGATCAGCTGTGCTTTTACAAGTTGCTTTTACTGTCAGTATTATCATGTAATGCGGTTCCTCCTCTGAGCGGATCAGAGACACAGGTATACAATAGGAACCGTGCAGCTACAGCACAGCACAGGAGAGCTCCCACAACATTTTCAAAGCTAAGAACACATCGTGCCCATAGGATCACACAAAGACAGGCATGTTTGCAGGTGCACACTCGGTGCACATGAAGTAAAAGGTCCAAAAGAGAGCTTACCCTGCACAAGAACATGGTTTTGTTTAACAATCAGCTCGGCAGACTGCTAAATAGCTAATCCAGTAATATTCAGAGTCACGGTACGTGTCCATTCACAAATGAGTTTGGCCACTGCATGCATTCGGCAGCGGTAGACTGGTCTACATCATTTTTTCCAATCACTGTTTAGCAACCGCTATCCACCACTGCCTCAAGCCTTCGGTTCGTTATCTGCCTGCCAATGTATGAATGTGAAGCTCCAGTTCTGGTTAAAAGATTCACTGGGGACATCTAGAAGTGAGATTCTGTCTTATAGAGTATGCCGATTTCTACTCAAAGCCAAAACCAAATGTAAAAAGCGTTGTCATCGTCAGTTTCTGCAAATTTGGTACTTACAATGCTCTTTTACTGCAAAGGCTGAAATGGGCTTTGTGAAAATGTCAAAGCAAACATCTACTGCTACTTCAGTGATTTCAGTGTGATCACAGGTGGGACAAAAATGGACCATAAACATTTTCCATGCCCAACGTGGCAATATGCTTTAGTCTACGATAAACAGATTTAATTTTTTTGTTGTGTTGTTTTTCTTTGTCTTTGTATATCTTAGGTGTCTGATGTTATGTCATCTTTATTGGGCATGCCTGTGGTGAGTGGACACATGCTTTATTGTGAAGGGTGTTACAGAGTTGGTTGTGTTTATGTGAATCCAGTATTCTGGTTGATTAGAATTGTTCTGAATCTCTACAGAGCAACAGTGTTGGAATAGGTGATGACTGCATGGCTATCAGGAATAAGATATAGCCCCATGGTATCACTTTGCAATGCATTTGGAAATTGGATCTAGCTGCTTTTTAACAGGCCTACGTAAACGTGTTTCTGCCTATGCCACTGCTTTAAGCTGAAATGTTTACTTAAAGACTGTCTGTAAAACTGGAACATACAAAGATAAAATGTCACCTGAATGTCTGTTAAAAGCTTTAAATAGCTGTGTGTTATTTTAATCCATTAGCCTGATTCTAACTTAACATGGTTAAAACCATTAAGGAGCTAGTAGAAATTAGCATTACTGTAGCGATGGATAAACAAACACCATTTATAAAGAGCAGATGTTCACAGTAAGTAATGCTATATCACATGCAGTTGATGCAAGTCTATGATTACATGAGTGTAAAATCATAAAGTTTTAGAAATGACTGTTATATCCACCGCCTACCACCTACACAGTATTACTATTTTTATTATGTTGAAAATGTAGTCTGTTGAGTTTTAAACACATAGCTTTTTAAAAGAATATTGTGATATCATAAACTGTGCTAAAAAGTTACGTGATAACAAAAAAATGTATACACTGGTACATGCCTAGCTGACACACAAACACAAAATCTCTCACTTATATTCTCTCCATCTAAGGTTCTCTTCCCACACACACACAGTAATTGTAAGACATGTTGAAACTGAAGCTGACGGCAGACAAAAGGCAGGTTTTTTTCATATTTAGAAGAGCAATGACTCACTCAGTTACTGACATCTACTGAAATAAAGCAGTCAGCATTAACACAGAGAACCACACGCACAGTCACGCCTCATTCTTTGCCACACACAATGATGTGTGTGCGTGTGTGTGTATATAGGCATAGATATATATGTATACACACACACACACACACACACACACACACACACACATATATAGCTGTTGTCGGAAGAAAATAGAAAACAGGAGAAGGAAAAAACATACTTTCCTTTTAATGTAAGTCAATGGATCCAGGCTTTTTTCCAAGTAATTTTGTGCCGTTTTGTTTAGTCCATTCATCATGAAATTTATTCACACGGTAAAGGGCAACAGGCATTTTCAAACTATGTCAAAAACTGGAAATTGTCAAAAACGAGATGGTTTTCTTCCCACAACAGTGATATATACACCGATCAGGCATAACATTATGACCACCTCCTTGTTTCTACACTCATTGTCCATTTTATCAGTTCCACTTACTATATAGGAGCACTTTGTAGTTCTACAATTACAGACTGTAGTCCATCTGTTTCTCTGCGTACTTTGTTAGCCCCCTTTTACCCTGTTCTTCAGTGGTCAGGACCCCCCATGGACCCTCACACAGCAGATACTATTTGGGTGGTGGATCATTCTCAGCACTGCAGTGACACTGATGTGGTGGTGGTGTGTTAGTGTGTGTTGCGCTGGTCTGAGTGGATCAGACACAGCAGTGCTGCTGGAGTTTTCCAGCAATATGCAATGGAAAGTGAGCACAGAAACAAGGAGGTGGTCATAATGTTATGCCTGATAGGTATACATCGCTGTTGTCGGAAGAAAACGATAACTCTCGAAAATGATAACTTTACAGGAGAAGAAAAAAACCTATTTTACTTTTAATGTAAGTCAATGGAACCAGGCGTAATTTGGGGTCATTTCTTTTAGTCCATTCTTCATGAAATTTACATACAATATAAAAGGCAACAGGTATTTTCAAATTACTGAAAAATGCCAAAAATGGATATTTTCTTTCTGACAATATATATAAATATATACACATATATAAAGAGGTGTAGTCATTTTCTCAGAGTCAAACAAATAACATTGTACAAAACATCTAAAAGTTATCAGAACTTTTGTTGCAGCCAAACTCAGGCAAAACGTCAAACACAAACATTTTTCATATATGTTTCAAGTACTCAGTGGATCAAAAATGTTCTGCGCCCATTTGGTTACGTTTTCATGTATGAAATATCTAACATGCAGTGAAAGGCTGACATTAGCACGCTACTTAGCTCAGTTTGAAATCATTACTTCCCCTTCAGTTCAGGCACATGCTTTAGAAACAGTGTAAAAGCAACTATGTATGTTTTCCCCTATGAAAACAATTGCCTATATTTATAAATCTGCCATTCAGCTTTTACTCCCTGAACAGCACGCATTCTGGCCCATTTCCCCTGTATGTAAGTGCTTATATGTAATAACATGCCTCATATGCATTATACATATGTCCAAAGATGTACACCTTTCTAAACAGTAACTGTACAGCACAACTTTTAAAGGTAATTGATGTAAAGAGGTTTTCTTCCAAGTGATTGTGGAGTATTTCTATTGGCCCATGCATTATGAACTTCCCACACAAGGACAGCTGCTGTGCTCAAATGGAAATACATGATTTTTTTTCAGTAGCGACAATATGAAAATACTTACATATAACAATTATATTTTCCACATATACCTATATATTACATACATGTACCTATATGTATTACACTGCTTGTGAGGATGTCCAGTGATTTCTATTGATTTTTGTAATACTGCAGCCAAGTAATACTACACCTACACCTAGACATAAGCCTAGCCTTAAACTAAGTCTCCCAAATATTTTTTCTGCTCTTTTAGTTTTTCCAAATAAATAAATGAATGAATGAATGAATGAATGAATGAATGAATTGTGGTAAAAATAATACAAGTAAGGCCCGGTAAATGTTCTTACTCAAGCAAAACTGTTATGTGGTCCCCACAAGGTTAGCAGCACAAGGCCATACTCACACAGCTCTACGCTATTTTAAACCAATGAACACAGATATTCTCTCAAAAGCCACTCGCATTCACACACACACACACACACACACACACACACACTTCCTGTGGTCATTGTCAGTAACACACACTGCATCATTAGACGACAGAGTGATAAATCTGCACAGCAATAACAAGGGGGATGTGTCAGTCTTAATACAGCACAATAGAAATCTTCTCACACGCACACACACACGCACACACACACACACACACACACACACACACACACACACACGCACCCAGGCACGCAGAGAGTGTCTTATCTGTCTCTAGGCATGCAGTGATGAAGATTAAAACTCTCTCTCCTTCTCTTCCTCTCTCTCTCTCTCTCTCTTTCTAAAGGACACTCCACAGGATGAATAAGCAGTACATGAGATAAAGGTCACTTCAATGAGTGGCAGAGAGAGAAAAGCCACTATACACCATTTATTACTGTTCTCTGTCTCAAAGGGCGAAACACTTTCATATTACTCTTTATTTTCAACAATAGCCTCAGGGCTGACCACGCACGCAGAAGTCACTGCCGGATTTCCCTCCTGCTCTGCCGTTACACTGACATATTAACCCTCACAGGCACTATGCATTTCCATAACAGGCAAAAAATGCCTGAGTCTAACTTCATTCGTCATTCCACTCTGAATAAAGATGACCACCTACTCCTTTTAGGGGGAAATTTCCTATTAAAACCCACTTATGCAGTTTTCACAAAGATTCTGACTCTCACTAATGTTTTCTCATTTGGGATTTCTTCTTAGGTAAGAACAGAATCTACACACACTCAAGAGCACAAAGATGAGAACAGTTCTGTGGCTTAAGAACACGTCATGAATCTGATGTAGACTTTTTCCTAGGACCTTTCTCAATTTAAGGCAAAACTTAGGAAGATATTGGTGAATGAGGCCTGATGTCTATTTACTGTAAGGCTAAACCATATCTGTGCATGAGTTTAGCATGTACAGGACGATGATGCATAATTGTACACACAGTAAAAGGAATTTAACTGGAATATGTTCAAATTAATTAAGTGCATTTTAAATAAATTGAGGCCTCTACAATGTCTTTTCGATTTCCTTTCATGGTTTTTGTCGTATTGTTTTCACTTATTTTTAAATTAGCTATGACAAATCATTATTGATGAGAAAATGTGTTTATCAATCAAATATATATATATATATATATATATATATATATATATATATATATATATATATATATATATAAAAGGCAAAAATATTCAAAGAAAAGAAATCCTTATAAAAGAAAGTCATAACCACTTTCTGTACTGCCACTCAGCAGTACATCCAAGCCAGCCAAGTAGTAAGAAAAATGTGGTTAATTCTAAGCCGAGTTATACAGTCTTGAGTTAGCGCTATTATATCCCCCAAAACTGAAGAGTAACCAAATCAGTATTCAGGACTGTAAAGAATAACACCAGGACTGTAGAGAATAATGGGGCAGGTCATTACCGGAGCCAGCAGGCTGGAGGAACCACCCTCTGCTTCCCTGATATCATACACAAAGTTAGTGAAATGAGCACAAAGGTGGACTCAAGTGTTAATTTGCTTGACTCCATGTTAACTTAGGTTAATGGGGCGGGGGGGGTTAGTGAAAACTGAATGAAAATGACAGAAAAAGAAACATTTGTGTGGCAAGTTCATATTACTGCATATTATTACACACTTCTCGTTGTTACCCACTAACTAAATAAGCAAGTAAAGCTTCATTGCTCTCACAACAAAACATTGTATCTCACCAATCAGGTTTTACAATGTGAGACAAACTGTTTAAAGCAAGGTCTAATTCCTATGATTCCTCTTTTATTAAAACTACACTCTTCTCTTAGCCTTAGCTGCATACCAAAAACTCTTAAATTAGCAGTAATTAAACCTCTCATTAAGAAATCTAACCTTGATCTCTCTGAGCTGTCAGCTGTTGGAGAAAGTTCTGACTTGTATATGAATCACAAACATTCTGTATTTAGGCCCCATTATAGTACAGAGACAGCACTAGTGAAAATAGTGAACAATCTTTTATTTCAAACCAAGGCATTGCATCTTTGCTGGTTCTTCTTGATCTTTTGATATGACAGACCATGCTTTCCTACTATGAGGGCTAGAAAACCTTGTAGGAATCACAGGAATAGCTCTTTCTTGGTTCACATCGTGACCTGAATGATCGCTATCAGCTTGTGAATGTTAACGACGAATCATGTACGTAGAAATTTAAAGCACGGTGTTCCACATGGCCCTGTTTTAGGGCCTCTATTATTCACATTATATATGTTACTACTGAATACTGTTATCATAAACATGGCATCAGTTTACACCCGGCTACGCTGATGACACACAATTGTATATATAAACAAAACAGGATGACAAAATTTGAACTTGATAAGATTAAGGACTGTGTAAAAGACATAAAATACTGGATGTCAAGTAACTTCCTCCTACTTAACCCAGAGTAAATAGAGATTCTCCTTTCGGTCCAAAAACAAGTAGAAACAAACTATCTGTCTTACGGTTTATTATAAGTTGGTCAGGTACATCTGTGAAAAACCTTGGCATCATGATCAATACAGATCTGTCCTTAGATGGACATATAAGCAATATTACTACAATTGCTTTCCTTCATCTTTAAAGTATTGCCAAGTTAAGAAATATACTGTCTCTACAGGATGTGGAAAAGCTAGTTTATGGATTTATTACTATGAGGTTGGATTACTGTAATGCTGTCTGGATGTTCCAGCAAAAGCTTTAACATCTTCAGTTAGTCCAGAATGCTGCAGCCAGTCCTTACAAGAACTAGAAAGTTTGATCATATCAGTCCAGTTTTATCAACACTATATAGGCTGCCAGTTACATTCTGCACTGAATAAAAAAATCTGCAGCTGACATATAAAGCTCTGAACAGACTTGCCCCTCAGTACCTTAGTGGACTCTGATAGGCCTCTAACAGAAGTAAGTAGCCAGTAACAGTGACTGGTTTTCATAGATCTCTTTCTCATTTGTTACTCTGATAGGCCTTATACAGTAGTCATCAGTTATCACTGGTCGATCTAAATCGGGGTCGCAAACTCAGGTCCTGGAGGACTGCAGTTCAGCACAGTTTAGTGATTTGCCTGCTTTCCTTCTCCTGAGTTATGTCAGCTGTTAACTGTCAGGTTTATTTGGAGGTTTAAATTCACCAAACCACCAAACTGTGTTGAACACTGGCCCTCTAGGACTGCAGTTTGTCCCCCCAATCTAAACTCTTCTATCAAATGTTGGGATCATTTCTATTCAATATTCTATATTAAGTGAATCATATTTTTATTCAGATTGCTTTTGGTTTATTACTGTTTTTCTATCCAGGGTTGACCAAGGGAGGATAAGTTCCACTTCTGAGTTTTGCTTCCTGTTGACTTGACTTGTAGAGGATGTGTTAACTTATTTTCACTTTAACAAAATGTAATTTGACCAGGGATAGTCAAACTTTTGCATAAAACTGTGTGATAGATGTATGTTTGTATGTATAGATAGATAGATAGATAGATAGACAGATAGATAGATAGATAGATAGATAGATAGATAGATAGATAGATATGTGTTTTAAATAATGTGGCAAGTGATCTTCATGGAGAAATGTGTTTCTCATCTGGTGCATTTCTCCTCTGAATCAGTACATTAATAAAAGCGGTTGTAGATCACTATGGAAACTTGAACCGCACTTCTCTGAAAAACTATGAATTAATCTGTATGAAAAAAATCACAAATACACTCTGTAACTCCTCCATACACACATACACTCACCGTGGCGAGTTTGGCCCTGAAGGTGATGACGTCTCTCCAGGCATAACAGAGCACGTGCGGCAGGTAAAGCAGGAAGTAGATGAGTCCTCCGCAGGCGGCCGCCAGATTGGCCCGCGAGAAAAACACGCTGATGAAGAAGCACTGCATTACCGTGGCCATACAGAAGACCAGCAGAAAGACAAATATCACCGACGGGTCACTGTATCTCAGTACCTTTCCGTACTGCAGAGAGACAGAGGGAGAGAGAGAGAGAGAGACAATAGAGAGAGAGAGATGGGGGTTGGGGAGGGATGTAAAAAGAGAAAGAAAGAAAGAAAAAGAAAGAGAAAAGGAGAAATGGAGAACAATAGAAAAACAGAGAGATAAACATATGTACGAATACAGGTGTGTACAGATGTGTTGACGCTGCACTGTTATAGAAGACCTGTTGGATGGAGGTTAAAGGTTAAACAGTGAAGCGACTGACATGGCAGACGAGAACAGCTCTGAGTGCAACTGTGATCTGGTGCCCCACACACACACACACACACACACACACACACACACACACACACACAGTGAATTAGAATAACTCTGCCAGAGAGGACAAGGGTCTCCCAATGAAGACTGGAGTGTTTTGAGGCCACAGTCCTTTGATAAGACCCTCAACACAACACACAAAACTACTAAGCACTACTGAACACAGAGCGAAGAGAGACACGTGGGAGAGGGTGGAGGTCAGAAAGAAGGACACATAAAAAGCACAAAAAAAGAAACAAAGAAAGCCAAAAAAGATGGGAAGATAAAGAGAGAAAGATAGAGAATCCAAAAGAAATAGAAGTAATGAATCAGAGAGAGACTAAGTTAGAAAGAAACACACTGAGAAAGAAAGCTAAAAAGATGGGAAGATAAAGATAGAGAAACAAAAAGAAACAGAAGTAATGAAACAGAGAGAGAATGAGTGAGATAGTAAAGGACAGAAAATGAAAGACAGACTGAGTAATGGGAGATGAGGCAAGAGGAAGAAAACAGAAAGAGCGAGAGAGGCAGAAGCAAAAGGAAATAAAAACAGAGTTAGAAAGAAAAAAGAAAGAAAGAAGCTGACAGAGAGACAAAGAGAGTGAAAGAAAGACAAGAGAGAATAAAAAGAGACAGATAGAGATGAAGAAGAAGACAGAGAAAGACAGAGAAAAAAAGAAAGGCAGAAAGAGAGATAGCAGAGAGACAGAGTTAGAGAGAGAGACAGAGAGAGAGAAAGAGCAAGAAACAGAGATTGAAAATGTGAGTGAGAACAAATAAGAGAGGGAGTGAAAGAGAGAGAGAGGCAGAGAGAGAAGGAGAGAGAAGGAAAGAGGGAGGAGGGGGTCTTGATTAAAAAGACTCATTAGAGATGATTAGATAAGACCTTGGCGTTGTGACTCTGGAAGGGGAGGCTGTGAACAGCTTGTGCCTGTGTGCATGTGAACATTATCAGTGAGCTCTCAGCTCTCATGTGCTCATGTCTCTGCTTCAGCTCATTAACCTCCCCATTACAGAGTCACTGGCCACTTACAACACTGGAGCTCTGCTGCGGCAGCTCTACGTGAAACTGACCCCAGAACAGCTGGACTGTCAGAAGGCCAGCTGGGTGTAGAGGAACTGCCACTGATCCTAAAGCAGGTGTTGGCTTTCAAATGCACTATCCATCAAAAGTTTGGCTGGCTTCTCAAATTGTTTTTGACGAATTAGCATGCTAGCTTGCTAGCTCGCTGAATTATGTGACGGTTTAGATGAAAACAATTTTGTACAGTTTTGTTTTGTTGGACACTTTTTGTTCCTCAAATGTAGCTGTTCAGTCAACGTGTGGTATCTGAAGTTTCCACCATGAGTTTTGCAGCTATGAGGCTAATAACAAGCTAACAAGGAACGGAAACCAATTAGCATCATAAAAACTGCATTCCTAAAATAGACATTTCCCTCAAATTGAGTCCAGCTGTTAAGTGATATTAAATAGACTTGCTTATGTGGTTTCTCACACTCTGACGTACTGTTTTCAGTAAAAATGGATAAAAGTATGTAGCATAGCTAAAACAGCACTAGAAGCCATCTTGAAGCCTAATTTTCACCTGCTCATACCAGGAACTTCAGCTTCAAGCAGACTTCTCTATGGGACAAATCAATGGTGTTGTTGAAAAACACCACAAATTTCACCCTGTGTTAAACAAAAAGTTCTAAAATTTATATATTTTGTACACTTTTGCCCCTAAATATAACTAGATTCTCTGAATTACAAGGCTATTAAGGAGTCACAATGTGAATGTTGCAACAAAGCAAACGCTGCTGTGCACTGAAATTGGCCTCATAAGGCTGGCAACTTCGCCAAAATAACCCAAGCAAACCACCACATTTTGGTGGTTTAGTTGCTTTGGCTCAACTCTACTTAATTTTAACCAAGACAGCGCCAGAGCTAATCGCAAACAAACATAACAGAGATTTAAATGTAGTTTTTCCCATTTTTGAGCAGCTATATATGTTAGCAATATGGTGGAAATTGGTAGATTAAAACTAGTAAACCTACAATACACATATCAGGTAGCTTTTCAAATAATTATGGTCGACTAATGTTTGAACACCTTTTACCATAGCATATTCTAGCCTGGGGAAATGATGCACTCTACATTACTGCTGTTGTAATTCTTTGAAAATGAACCATTATTAACCAGTTAACCAGATTTAAGTTTTAAATGTAGAGCAGTTGGATGTTATCTTCTGTTCCTCTTTTCACAAGGCTGAGGTTGGCGTCTTATCCAAGCACGAGTGTGTTTAATTACCAGCTTTAAACAACGCCAATGCTGCTCACCTGTCACTGTAAGCGTGAAAAACATTTTCAATATGTCTGCCTCTAGACTGCATCTGCACCTAAACTCTCCTAGGTAAAAGAATTTTCTTCATGATTATAGTTGCAATAAACAAAAAAGAGAAACTGTGGCTGTGTCCAAAACTAAAGGCAGCTGTCTCAATGCCTTGCTACCTATGCTGTCTTATAAGTCAGTGTCTCAGGAGGCAGCATTGTCCACTGTATTAGTGCTATTAGTGCTATACACATGCCTTCATCAAACTGTCCCTTGAACAAATTACAATGAATAACCTGAGTACATAGAGTAAATAAGGTCGACTCCAAGCATTTCAAGTCTGAGTCATTGGTTAAGAGACAACCCCGACTCCTAGATGTGTTGGAGTTGAAGAATCGACTCTTTTGGAGTCGGCTCCCCATCACTAGTTATTATTTAATAGAGCTGAAGAACAGTATTATTTAAATATTGACTAATTCTCATGTAATGCCATTTCAGTGCAGAGAAGTGTTTGCTTGTAGCATGCATGTAGCAATATTTGTAAATGGGCTACTTAATGACCTCATGATAAGAGGATGCAGCCACATTTGGGGAAAAAAGTAGGACAAAACATCAGGTTTGGAACATTTTTGGTTAAAACAGAGTGTTTTAGCAGTGATTTTTGAAAACGCTGTTCATTTTCCCCCTAGAGGAAACGTGCCTAAGTTCCTTATTTGGGGCATGATGCACACTACAAAATGTTTGAGATTACTACAACAACCTAATGTGGTTTGAGAAAGATGTGTGATGATGTAAGTATGCAGTCAGCATGATGCTAACTAGTGGCTATTAGTTGCCAATATTTTTGCAACTAGTATTATTCAGTATTAAGTATTATTCATTTTTTACTTGTGCAAAGTAAGAAAAGGTTACATTTTCAAAAGAAAGTAAGGTGTGCCAAACTTTCGAGAGGCAGTGAATTCTCGACCCTGAACATATCCATGTTTTACTATGTACAGATGCTAATATGCCAGGTTTCTGTTGAGCTGATTTGGTCTGTGGCATCTAAATGTTGAGGTTATTTCATTATTAACAATATCATATCTTTAATGTTGTTCATGCACTACACTGTCTACTGCTTCTGTTGTTGGTGAGCCATTTCTTGCCTGCAGTGCTCCAGTGTTTTGTAAACGGCTGCTGTGAATCAGAGTGAATCAGCGCTAATCACCTTGAGGATGAGTGTGAGGAGGAGTGCGCTGATGCTGAGCGGGAGGAAGCTGCTGATGAGCCAGCTCAGCCAGTAGGTGTTGCTCTTCAGGCCCATAATCCGTATGGTCTCCTTCAGACGCGCCTCCTTCTCCTGAACCACACCCTTCACTATTAGCGCTACTGAGAAAATCCACGCTAAAGTCATGTACAGGGGCAGCGAGCTGGACAACGAGCGCAGGAACCTACATACACAAACACACCTTGCTATTGAGGAGAGCTAATGAAGTATTAACAAGGAAAAAATAGGGCCATGCAAACTAGGTAGACCACCAATCTGTCAACATCAGATATACACTACTTAAAGCTTTCATCTGTGAGAGAGAGGAGAAAATCAAGCTCTACTCTTGATTCAGATCTGAAAACATCCACAGGTGTTTCTGCCCATCTTTCCACTGTGAGAAGACAACTCAACACTATGAGTCTGAAAGGATGCATAGCTGACAAAAAGGTCTTACTGAGAAAAGGAAATAGACAAAAAAGAAGAACAAGCTGGTCAACTGAGCTGTGGAGTGAGATTTTATGGACTGATTAGTGTACATTTGAAATTGGAATTGCATCATAAGAGCCAACAAAACAACTTCTAAGACTGAGCTTTAGAGGTGTGGAAGAATATCCCTGCAGATTTCTTTGAAAAACTGAAAGCCGGTCTCCTGAAAAGGATGGATGCTGTAATAAAGATGTAATAAAGTACGAACACACTAATTATTAAAAAATTGAATACTATGAATAGAATGGTCGAGGAGAACAGCCTCGTAAACATGTAATTGCAAAAAAATGAACAAATTTGTTGAGGGGGATGCTTAATTGTTTAGAGCAGGGATGGGGAACTGAACTGAACTAAAAGCGGAACTAAGACAACCAGCAACTTGTGCAGGAATCTGTTCTGTTCCCCACTCCTGCTTTAGAGGTTATTCATCAGCATGTTTCATCACGCTAAACTGATAAATAGATTCCATGAAGATTGTATAGGAAACTATACACATTTCCACCAAATTATAGTACCGAAGCTCAGCTCCGTTTGCCATTTATGCAACCAAAGACGCTGGAGCTACATTCTGGAGCACTCTGGTCCAATTTAACCCCTGCATACAGTATAATGATATCACACTCAGAGGAAGTCAGAGTGGGTGTTCCAGTTTAACACAGCCCAGACACAATAACACTCCAAATCAGCATGAAATTGTCATTTAGAAGTAGCTCATCACACACATACACACAAGCTAAGCTCAGAGCCAGCATGCTAACTCAATTTAGCCTGATTAATGTTTATAAATGGCTGATTGGCGGGCTAGGCCCATCACACTGATGAGGACATTATTATTCCTTCCACCACTGAGATATGAATTATATTTACTGCAGTTTTCTCCAATTAAACTGTGTAGAATTGATTTAGCGATCCAAAGGAAGGACCATCTCTCTACGCTATTCCAGTTAGAGAAGCATTGATTCACAAAAAATAATTTCAACTAGGCCTAATAATTCATTAGATTGCTTGTTTAATGAAAGAGAACAATAGGATGTCCTCAGTGGAGGAGAATCAAATAACGTTGTTGTTTCAGACAGACGTGCCTCCAGAAAGATTCGTTTTGATAAAGAGTTTGAATGGCTGAAAAAATTTTGGGAAAACAATCAACTAATTTAACCCTCCATTTGGAGAGCGGATGAGTCCAGCTGGGCACTTCCGGTCTCTTTTTGAATTTGCCCCACTGTGATTTTTATGACAGGTGCCACAGCATTGCTGACCTTGTACTCTAAGATAAAGAAAAAATAAAATATACCTCTGAAAAATTCATTCCAATTGCAAAGATCACTTTTAAAAAAGGCTTCGTTTCTCTCTGTGAAAGCCTTCAGCTGGTTTGGAGAAGAAGAAACAGACTCCGGTGGGAAACTCCTGGAGAACGGCTAATCAATAATACATTTTATGGGACTAAAAATTACTGCACGACTACATATAACGATATTAAGTAATAAAACATTTTGCAGAACTAAGTCTTAAATACTGCAGAATGATTGCAGCTTTTGAAATGAATCTGTAAGGACTCTAAGACCTACTGCTGATGATATTGATCTAAATCAATAATAAATGGTCAAACACAACCTCAATTTCAAACACCATGCAAGAGAATACATGACCAAAAGAAGACCTCTCAGAGCTTTACCATAAAGATTACATTGCTTCTTCTGAAAATTTTCACTTTTCCACACTTCTTCCAGCACTCTGACCACCAGACAAAATCCCAATGGAGACCTATTAGGACTTCATTCAGTTGATCTTGGTTTTACTGGAAAAACAAGTTTTCCACCAGGAAGAACCAAAAGAACATCCTTAGAAGTTGGGTACACTGAAATTTTCAATGCAGCACAAATTGGCTCAGTTGTGATATCAACACTACTTTCACTATGGAGGAGGAAAGAAATGAAAAGCCCACCAATGTAAAGGTAATCCAATAACACTGTACGCATATAATAAATGGTAAGGTTAAAGTAAAGTTAAACATGTATAATTATCCCACATTTTATTTCTGCTTGGTTTTTGTGTTCAAAAGCACCTGAAACATAAGCCAAAACCGATACATGCCAGCTAACTTAGGAATAACCATTTCACAGCCTGTCTTGTTCATCTCCCACATAAACCGCATGAATGCACACGTCAGATTAATGAGTTCCTCCTCTGGGAAAAATAACACCTAGATTAAAAGCAGCATTTCTTCAAGAGTTGGTTGGACTTTTTTGTTGATGCCTTGACAAAAAATGCAAGAACACCAATATCAAGAACAGTTATAGTACGTTCAAAGTTAGACAGGAAATGAGAGGAGCTTCAGACATGATCCTCCTCCCACACTTTAGTTAGTTCATAACTCTATTTAGTCATACTGCACAAAAGTGTTTTAGTGTACACAATCTGCAAAACAGTGTGCACATGTTTGGGCCCCCAGGTCAAATGACATGTTGATTTTCTTAGTGAAAATAAGTTACACATCCTCTGTAGAGAACACGCATCTGCCAAGGGTGTTATAAAGGAGGAGACTGGACACTGTTTGAATTATGAATGGAAAAGCTTGTAACGTTCAGCATGGCATCTGTTTGGGGACAAAGTCCTGCCCTTCAAGAAAAAGAGCCAATCAGCTTGGAAACCCTCCCCACCTGTTGTGGAGATCTGCAAAACACAGTAGCCAGAAAAACATTCCTGAGCCAAATGCTACAAACTATTTAAGAGATTTTTGTCAGATTTTATCAGTGATTTCAAATTTGTTTTGGAAACGGTTTTTTGACCTTCAGGTTTGAGCATTTTGGTCTCTCCCCATTCAAAAAGATAGAAGCCTGGTCTTGTATGGCTGGAAAAGTCTACCCGGCCACATTGCAAAATGGCCACCAAGTGAACAGACTCTGCTTCTGCACATGTTAATGTACAATTACTGTTTATTTGCTGAAAATTAAACATAACACATGGCATGTGCATATTATACGTTATGCTTTGTTTTTTCCCCACTATTTTAAACACAGAAAATAAATACAAACTGTTCACTAAAATATAAATCCTCATTTAAGTTTTTCTTTTCTGTAAAGGATGATTTCACCCCTTAAAATCCCAGACTTATATACACAAGGACTTCAATGCAAACTAGCTAAGCTATCCTTAGGTCATAGAAGTGTGTAGTAAAACTTTGGGCCTGTCAGCAGGCCTTGGCCATTTAAGGGTCTGACTTACTTTTACTTAAAAAAAATCAACAAACATGTCATTTGACTGGAGGTGATCAAACTATTCAAACTGTTCAAATTGCAAATCCATTCTTCACATTCTTAGTGCTGAGAAACACCTTATGCACTTACTGGGTCCACCAGGTTGCTATACATATGTTTGAAATTTTGCTCTTGTTGTAATCACAGAGTGCAAGCACAGAAATATTAGACTACTGGATCTCCAGTCGCTCCATTTTTATAAACCAAAAACAGTGTGCTTTTTTTTGGTCTACGTAATGCTTACACAACAACATTTTGACAGTACGTCATTCCACACTCTCAAAAATAACAAGGCTTTTCTCTCCATCTCTGTTCTCTCTCTCTCTCTCTCTCTCTGAGCACGATGAACTTTTCCAGCAGCTTCCATTTCAGCGATTTGCCACTTGGAAAGAACACAGTCTTTTAAAAAAGAGGAAATAAAAAGGCTTTTAGAGGAGCCACAGAGGGCGAAGAGGAGGAGGAGGATTGTTTGGGGGGGGGGCGTTAGGCGGGATTTCTGAAGGGGGTGCTGATCACAAATGGGTTGTAAAAGCCTTAATACCACGCATAATCAATTAGCATAATTACCCAATTCAGAAATCAAAGTTCAGCCGGTTCTGGCCTGATTCGTTGCAATTCCGCATTAATGTTTTCTGTAATTATTTCCCCCGAGAAACAGGAGCAACAAGCCCACAAAGCACCGCCACTTCATGAATTTATGACTGCTCAACCTGAACGCTTATTATTTTTCCCCCGATGATTTTAAAAACGGCGTCTATTATTTGCTCTCTGAAACAATACCAATCTGATGAATTCCAATTAGCCTCCGTTGAGTGTTACTGACAAATACATTATCCATTTGTCTAAACCAGAACAAGACTCTGCTTTGCAAACTAGCATCCAGGAGCAGGCCACAGTTCTCTGTGGTCAGCACTCAGTGATTTGTTTACCGACTAACTGACTGATTTCTGGATTAATCAAGTGATTAATTGGCTGACATATTAAGGAGCGACTGACTGATTGCTTTCTGATTAATCAAGTGATTGCTTTATAGATCGGTCGGCGGATTGATTAACTTGACTGAGATTTTGATTGATTAACTGATCAGTCATCGGCCATCGACGGTCCCACTGACCTTGACCATCAAACTAATGAGCGCGCAGGGAATGGTCAGCAGCACCATGTTCTCTGTGAACCAAGAGAACCACAGTGGTCCGTTCCGAACGCCCACCACACGCAGAACCTCCTTCAGCCTCAGCTCCTTCTCCAGTACCAGGCCTTTGATGGTCTGGCACACCGTGTACATGTAGGCCAGCACCAGGAACATTGGCAGGATGGTGGCGATGGACGACACGAAGCTGTTAGAGAGCATCAGAGGGAGTTACTCCTGACATCCGACAAGTTTGGCTTTCAGTAACGTTATGCAACAGATGCAGATACAAACAGCTGATTGTAGTTCAGCACTGCAGGTGAGATTGTGTATCTAATGCTGAAACAGTGGCTGGCTGCTGTGGGTTTCTCCCACACATTCACACATACACACAGACACGTGGATGGATGGATAGTAGAGCTACAGCACAACACACCATATGTATCTGTTTACCAATCTAAATATCTATTTACATTCAGATTTAAAGCAGAAGTGGGTGTGGTTCACTGTGCATGTATAGACAGATGTAAAGTCGTGGCTGTCATGCCCCCATTAGAAACTCTGCATATCAAAAATGAATGTCGTTTTGGAAAAATCAGAGCTGTCATGCCCTGTGGTACACAAAAATGTTCCAAATTTCTATGTTGTCCAGCAGTCAAAATACGAATAATGCTACATACATGCTACAAATAAGTTAACACCCCTGCACACTGAAATGACGTCACATGAAAGTATGTCTAACACTGTAAGTAAGACTAAACACTGCTATAAACTAACCCCAGCTACTTTACACTCTACTAAGGCTGAAGCAACCTAACCACAGCATTTGACAAAGCTTGCTGGTTTGTGTGGGATGTTTTGGTGAGATTGTCAGTGCTAAGATGTCAGTTCAGGGCACAGCAGTATTAGCTTGCATGTGGTCATATTACAGCTCCTTAATGACCACGTAATTCAGAAGATCCAGCGATGTTTGGAGGAAAAATGTCAGTACAGCATGATGTATCACAGTAGCAGTGAAAAATGGTGTCCATTTCTGTCATAGAGAGGACAACAGATCCAAAGTTTCTAATGTGGCGAGGACACCCACTTCAGAATGACAAAAAACTTCAGGGGTCTATGGATTACAATTGAAGCAATAATTATTTGCCTTTTTAGAAAATGCAGTAAAAAGCAAGCCAGTTAAAAACTGTTCCTACAGATGAACCTATTCAGTAAATAAATAAGCAAATAGTGTGCCAGAGATTAGAAATATTTGACATAACACAGACCTGCATGTATTGACCACCACTTGGCTTGTTCGAAAGTGTAATATCACCAGCACATATGCAATGATAATCTAGTGAAAGGATCCAGTTTTCAGCTTTAAGAGCCAGAGGTTCGTTCCTTTTCGCTCTAAGCCCTTCATTTCTTACATCTCTCATAAAGGCTTGTAGGCTTTTTTCCATGTTTGACAATTTTTGGTGATAATTAATGAGCAATTTAATGTCTCTCTAATGTTATATGTATTGTGGCGTTGGCGTGGAATAAGATGTCATTGTTTCTGCCACGAGAAGTGCTCTTTTATTTACACAAGCAGAAAAGGCACATACATGCACAGCCGGGGAGCAGGCAGGTCACTTCTAGCCATACAGGTTTCCACTATGGTATACACTAACCCCCACTAACACCACATACACATCCTAAACCAGCTAACTAAATATTTTTGAGCTGAGAGGTATGAGGTGAAACTGGGGACTAGGCTTTTAACGTTTACTGAGGAAACAATTTACTGAGACAATGAGCACAGTGTTTATCTTAAAGACTTTAGATCAGGGGTGTGCAATCTTACCCAATTAAGCACACTTGATTCCTCTTGCTTATTCAATTACTCTCAGTCTTCAGACAATTGATCATCTGTAAACATCAGGAAACAAACCTGTAACCGGCCCCTTGCGGATAAGACTGGACACCCAAGCTTCTGAATGCCTAAATTGTTGCAAATTTCAAGCCATATATCCCATACTCTCACTTTTTATGGTCTGGTTCTGGATTTAATTTAATAGAGAGATGTAATAATAGAGAGATGCTGAATGGCACTCGGAGAAATAGAGCAGTGCTGGAAGTCGACTGGCGGAGCACAACCCAGTCGCAGAATTTATTTTTTCTTGAAAGAGGTTATTATTATTAATGTTCTTCAAACAGTACCTTTTAAAGTGAAGCATCAATTTTGACTGAAATGTCCATCCCTAGTTTCTGATCTGAGTTTTTATACATCAAACAACTGCAGCACTTTCATATAACCTGCACTGAGCCTCAATGTCTCTCTCTTTGTCTTTCACATACGCACACACTCAGCGTGGATCCCCTGCGGCCCATGTTTCTCTGTCATGTATGATGTATGGTCTGATGCTGTTATGATACAATAACAGTCGATTACACAGCCTTCATAAGGCCACTGAAATGTCATGTCAATATCTGCATTGGGTCCTCTATAACAAAGTGCTGTCTCTGCTCAATTAGATGCCTGTGCACATATATCACACACACACACACACCCCATCTGACAACCTATGGATGTTACTAATGCTTACTCTTCATAAGTAAAGAACAGGATCTATGGCACACAAAGCTTTGGCCAGTCTACTGGGACACTTTTACATTAGAGGTCTGCATGGACATGACATTGAAGCCCGACTAGGCCCAACTGGTACTGGTCAGTATGAAACCCTTTTCGGTTTGAGCCCTTGAGACGATCAAGAGAAAATGAGATGCTAGGATAAACCTGTACTTTACACATCTGTAATTCACTAACAGTAATTAATATCAATATATTTTTGTGGAACTGCTGATTGTAACTGGTAGAGAACAGCATCCACGTTCCTCTGATCAACTTTTAATCCTGCTGCAGTAAAGTACCTCTCGATGATCGACTGTTTGCCCCACTACACTGAAGTTCCTCTCTCTGATGAACTGTTAGCACCACTGTGCTAAAGTCCCTCTCTCTGATGAACTGTTAGCACCACTGTGCTAAAGTCACTCTTGCTGATCAACTGTTAGCGCCACTGCGCTAAAGTCACTCTTGCTAAAAAAACTGTAACTCTCAGCCCCGCTGCGCTAAAGTCTCTCTTGCTGATCAAATGTTAGCCCTGCTGCACTACAGTTACTCTCACTGATCAACTGCAACTGTTAGCCCTGCTGCACTACAGTTACTCTCGCTGATCAAATGTTAGCCCCGCTGCACTACAGTTACTCTCACTGATCAAATGTTATCTCTGCTGCACTACAGTTACTCTCGCTGATCAAATGTTAGCCCCGCTGCACTACAGTTACTCTCGCTGATCAAATGTTATCTCTGCTGCACTACAGTTACTCTCGCTGATCAAATGTTAGCCCCGCTGCGCTACAGTTACTCTCGCTGATCAAATGTTAGCCCCACTGCGCTACAGTTACTCTCGCTGATCAAATGTTATCTCTGCTGCACTACAGTTACTCTCGCTGATCAAATGTTAGCCCCACTGCGCTACAGTTTCTCTCGCTGATCAAATGTTAGCCCCGCTGCGCTACAGTTTCTCTCGCTGATCAAATGTTAGCCCCGCTGCGCTACAGTTTCTCTCGCTGATCAAATGTTAGCCCCGCTGCGCTACAGTTTCTCTCGCTGATCAAATGTTAGCCCCGCTGCGCTACAGTTTCTCTCGCTGATCAAATGTTAGCCCCGCTGCGCTACAGTTACTCTCGCTGATCAAATGTTATCTCTGCTGCACTACAGTTACTCTCGCTGATCAAATGTTATCTCTGCTGCACTACAGTTACTCTCGCTGATCAAATGTTATCTCTGCTGCACTACAGTTACTCTCGCTGATCAAATGTTAGCCCCACTGCGCTACAGTTACTCTCGCTGATCAAATGTTAGCCCCGCTGCGCTACAGTTTCTCTCGCTGATCAAATGTTAGCCCCGCTGCGCTACAGTTTCTCTCGCTGATCAAATGTTAGCCCCGCTGCGCTACAGTTTCTCTCGCTGATCAAATGTTAGCCCCGCTGCGCTACAGTTTCTCTCGCTGATCAAATGTTAGCCCCGCTGCGCTACAGTTACTCTCGCTGATCAAATGTTATCTCTGCTGCACTACAGTTACTCTCGCTGATCAAATGTTATCTCTGCTGCACTACAGTTACTCTCGCTGATCAAATGTTATCTCTGCTGCACTACAGTTACTCTCGCTGATCAAATGTTAGCCCCGCTGCGCTACAGTTACTCTCGCTGATCAAATGTTAGCCCCGCTGCACTACAGTTAGTCTCTTGCTGTAGTTAGCCCTGCTGCAGTAAAGTTGCTATCATTGATCACCCTGGGCCTGACTCAATGTGATATGTAAAAAATCAGTCCGAACTCAAGCCCAAAACTCGAACTTTTGTCCAGCTCTGTCGGACTTGAGCTGGGTAGCAGAAAGAGCGTGTTGGTAAGAGAGATTAACAGGGAAAGAAATGAAACACACGTATAGTATAGAGAGATAAATGAATACTACAGAGAGAGGTATAATAGAGAGACGTTTGGGGGTGGGTCTGGTCTTGTGGGATGATTAATAGTTAAACACTGGAGCTCCCTCACAGCTCATGTTAATGTGGATTAGAGAAAGCCCTCTGAGACACACAATGGATATTTAACACAGTTGAAGGGTCAGATATAACCACATTAAATTTGCAATGTGAACACTAAAGCATCCCGACGCATCCCCTGCAATTCTTTCTTCATCTTCTCGCCTGTTTGTCTGTAAGCTGCATTAGCAGGTCACAACGACAAATTCAGTGGGAGACTTATACAGGTCCAGCATCAGGGGGTCATTTAGCGGGGCAATGCCCCACCGACCAATCATCATGGCCCACTAAACTCACTGCTCTTTATACACTGCATGTTGGTTGCACTGCTGCGGTGTTTGCCGTGCGCACTTGGTATACAAGGCTACCTCAATGAACATAGGAGGACTTGCATACATTACTGCTTACTGGCTGAATATTAGAGATGTGCTGTATGCTGTGGGAAAATAAGACATTTCCTAAACAGTGATTTGCTGTAAACGTGGCTCTTTACTGTTGATTCTGTCCTGAACAGGGTTATTATAGTTTAGAATTTGTATTAGTTTTTATTTTTATTTAGTTTTTTATTTTGGTTTCAGTTCAGATTTGGTTTCAGTCTCATTTCAGTGAGTGTTACGGGTGCACTAATAGCTTTAGTTTTT